TTTTTCCTAAAATGTAACGTTTATATTTTACACCTTTTCTATGTACATAATGTTGCACAAAATCAAACTCTTTTTGCTTTTTTTGTGGCCATCATTTTCTCAGGAGGTTGAAATTTTTACTTTAGGACTACAACTAATAATTATTTTTATATTTGATTAATTGGATTAAAAAGTACCGTTTAAATCTAGTTATTTTCTAAAAAGTTATATTACCAAAAAATTTAAATAAAATTAATTTAAAAAACATTCCACATTCTGCTCTCCTCTAAAATATATAAAGTAAGCTACAAACACAAATATACACATTAACTGCATAAAAATATAAACATTATATAAAAAAAAATGTTTGTTCACAGCAAGAGTCACTGTCTGGGCAAGCTTTATGGAAATTAAGGTCACAAAAGCAAATAAAAACTATTGTTTATTGATATATAAGTAGAATGTAATTAAGCCGAGCTGATAAACAAATACAAAAGCAAGCTGTACAAATACAAAAGCAAGTGTGCTCCTGTTTGTCTGGGTGGATATAATTTATCCTCACAGGAGTCTGATGGAAAAACATATAGATATGCAAAATGTTGCATGGGGTATTAGTTGTTATGCAACCATGGTGAGGACGTGTGTTTGTTTCTACGCGCATCTTTGTTAAGAATGCAGTGCGATGAGATTTTATAATGTCTCCAGATGGTAGAGCTGCATTTGAACAATTCCCAAATGAGGGATTTTGAAAACAGGTTACATGTGTGATTTCAGGCAGGTCTAGAAAGACTGTGAGGTGGAAGGGAAGAAAAGGTGAGTTAAATCTAATTTCTGATTCTATGACATTAATTCAGAAGGGCATTACTTAAACAAGCCTCCTACCTGCTCTGTTCATGTCTAAAATCTCCTCCTGGGCAGCAAGAGCGCAGTGGTCACTTTGTGGGCTGTGGTGGGGTGAGTTCAGGGCAGACTTACAGTAATTAGGTGAGCCCGGCTGGGGCGCACGGGGAATATGCTTGTTCTTTTTCTTTGGTAGCTTCTGCTTAGCCATGGCTAGAGAGTAGTACATCCCAAAGTTATTGACGATGACAGGCACAGGCATGGCGATGGTTAACACACCCGCCAGAGCACACAGTGCGCCCACCAACATGCCTGACCAAGTCTGAGGATACATGTCTCCATAGCCCAGTGTGGTCATAGTCACAACAGCCCACCAGAAGCCAATGGGGATGTT